CCCTGATACACCCAGAAATAAACCTCCACGCTGGCATCCCAGACTGCAGCGCACTGCGTGGCTGTGTCTGCCTCACCTCCTCCGAGGGATGCAGGCAGAGGTTCAAGCTCACGGATGTGGTGACTGCGTGGGGAACTGATCACTGCCCAAAAAGCACAGGGGGTTCTGTTCTCTGCTATTCCAGGACAAAAGCCTTCGAGTGTGGCGGATGAACAAAGACGGAAGGGTGATCTGTGTTGCCCAAGGACTGGGTCATGCTCACGGGGTTGGTGCTGTCTCTTGCTCAAGGTAATACAAATCAGATGAGGGTTTCCCTTTGCAAGGCGCGGGAGGAGAAGGTCTTTTTGTTTGTGTAGGTGAAGCTTCTTTACACTTGACATGTTTATTCCTTTCAGACTGAAAGAAAGCTTCATAGTAACCAGCAGCCAGGACTGCACAATCAAGATCTGGAATATCCCGGAATCCCTCACTTCCAAAGCAAAAGCAGCCTTGATCTCCAGCCCAGAAACCCTTCATGCAAAAGTGACTGAGAGGGGTCATAACAAGGTAAAGCCCCACCTGATCATAGAACATGCTTTTAGTACTGCCATCTTTCCCTCCTGTGCTGCACCCTGCTCTTATTACCTGTCCAACAGCTACAGCAAAGGCTTAAACTGCTTTGCACTCTCCGTGTGCCTTCCCTAGGACATAAACAGCGTGACAGTGTCCCCAAATGACAAGCTGATTGCCACGGGCTCGCAGGACCGGCTGGCCAAGCTCTGGTCCTGCTCTGATTGCTCTTTGCTGGGTGTCTTCACTGGACATAAGCGTGGGATCTGGTGTGTGCAGTTCTCCCCAGTGGATCAGGTCTTGGCCACCTCTTCAGCAGATGGGACCCTGAAGCTCTGGGGTATTCGGGACTTCAGCTGTTTGAAGGTAATGAGAACTCACACTGCCCCTTGCTCTAGGCAGCCTTTGTGTGCTACAGGGATTGATTTAAAGCTGCTTTCAAAAGAGAAGGTGCTGGTTAAGGCAGCTGAAATGTAGCAACATGCTCAAGGAAGAGCTATCCAGGTCTGGCCTTTTGCTCCCGGGTCTTTGAGGATAGAGGCTGCTTTTTGGAACTTATTTAGGCTTTAGGAGTGAATATTACCCTGTTGGAAGAGGACTCTCTCAAAGCCTGGCAGCAGCTCCAGCACTTGTGAGCCTCCTCTCTGTTTTCCAGACCTTTGAAGGTCATGATGCCTCTGTACTGAAGATCATCTTCGTCAGCCGAGGAACACAACTGCTCAGCGGGTAAGTGCCTGCACCAGGAGGCTGCAGGAAGAGGCTAAAACTAATCAGAAGGAGAAATCTCTTTGCTGGTATCAGCCTTATGTGTGTGATGGATTTAGTTTTGGAATGACTGATAGGAGGATGCCATGCTTATGCCAAGCTTTCTGCAGGGGCTGAATTACTTCCTTCTCCACTTCCACAGTAGGTTCTGCTGAGCTGCTGGGTTGGTGACATACCCTGTAGTTAGTGCATGAGAGCTGAGAGTGCATCTCACCCTTGGTATTTGTGGTTAATTCTGCTCCTATTCAAAAGGCATTGGAATGGCACAAATTTATCTGATATCTGAGGTGGGGCAGAGCCAGAATGGATCTATCCAATGATTCTTTTTGTTGTGTCTTTTTCTCTTCCAAAAGTGGTTCTGATGGTCTCCTAAAACTCTGGACAATTAAAACAAATGAGTGTGTGAAAACATTAGATGGCCATGAAAATAAAATCTGGGGTCTTCACTCCAACAAGCAAGATGATATGGTGGTGACAGGATCCAGTGACTCCTGCATCACGCTGTGGAAGGTACGGTACAGGGTGTTCCTGTGTTTCCTCTGGGATTAGTGATCAGGATGCAGCTGGAGAGCTCAGGGTTCCAGTGGCTCACTCCTCACTGTTCCAGCATGGCACGTGCTCTTTTCTGCACTTAGAAATCGGGTCACTAAGACCCATCTGGTGGTTTTGGGGTGTTTTTTGGCCATAGTGTATTTCCCCAGTTGATGCTGTAAAAGGAGCAGCAGATGGGGCTCAGCAGCCTGCCCAGTGCTGCTGTTCTAAAGGTGCTCTGGGGGGAAGTTGCTGGATTTAACACTGAAATTACATGACTTGGAGATGTTGCTGCAGAAACTGTTCTCCCGATCACTTGATGGCTAAATCAGAATTCATCTGTATTAAAGCAAGATTTGACAAAGTTGTATCCTGGCTTTTAATAGGATGTCACTGAAATTGAAGAGAAAGAAGCACAAGCTAAGGAGGAGGAGCAGATTATTAAGTAAGTTGATCCTGTGCAATGATGAGGTGTGAAGGACAAACTGTCCAGTGAATCTGTCCACACGTAGAGCCATCCAGCTCCCTCTGATCCAAACATTACATCATGGAGCTATTCAGAGGCTGGCAAGGCACACTAGTCTCGTCTGCTTTGTAGTTCCTGCAAAGCCTTGCTGTGATACTGTCAGCTTGACAACTGATTAGTCCCATGTGTATGTACTTCTAAGACAAGCAAAGTCAAAACCTGTTTTCACTTTCTCCTGCTTCAGCCAGCACTGAATAGTTCAGGGAGCCCCTGACTGTGCCAGGGTGATGATGTGCACAGTGAGAGCACCGAGGCATTCACTGGCAGCACCATTAACTTCCTGGTGGTAAACCTCAGCACGCTTAACTGCCAAATCTGCTGTTTTCTGTATAAACAGTTTATTTACCACCCAAATATTTACCTCCCCTCTTGATCCTGATTTGCTTTCCAGAGAACAAGAGCTTTCTAACCTGCTTCATGAGAAGAGGTATCTCAAAGCTTTAGGGTTGGCAATCTCTCTGGATCGTCCACACACGGTGTTGATGGTCATCAAAGGTGAGTCCATGTTGTGCTCTGAAGGCCCTTCTCTGCCCTCTCTGCCTTCCAGAACATCTCTTCTAGTAGACAACTACAGTCTAATTGTCTGGAAGCCTCAGTTTTCCCTTTCTCCTGTGACTCCTGTTTTCCTCAGTGGGATCACCCCAGATGACAAAGGGTCTCCCTGCTCTCAGCCCATGGGTGCAGGGGCTGGACTCTTGCACGGAACTCTTCATGTCTCTTTCCTACAGCCATCCTCAAGGAAACTGATGGGAGAAAGCACTTGGAAGAGAACATTGTTCGGCTCCGAAAGGATCAGAAAGGTTTGTTGAAACATGGTTTAAGTGCTAAAACCTTTAGGTTGTCCTTGTGACAGCTCAAGAAAGGGTTCTGGGTATGTTTGTTCCGCCCTGGGCTTGTCAGTTACGGTGCAACTGGCAGCATGTGCAGATTTCCTTCCTCCCTAGAGGCTGTGTTAACATTCCTGGTGACATGGAACTCCAACTCCCGGAACTGCCACGAGGCCCAAGCTGTTGTTGAAACCCTCCTGAAGCACGAAGCACCAGAGACCCTCCTGCAGTACTCGGGCATTAAACCTGCTGTGGAGTCCCTGCTGCCCTACACCGGTGAGTCGCGCTGCAGGAGCAGTGAGCCTCAGGACACCTCCAGTTGTGAATATTCCCTGTTTGCCGTGGTTTAAAGGAGACATTCCCTGTTGTGGTGAGCAGAGGTGGCATTTCTCTCTCTGCAGAGCGCCACTTCCAGAGGCTGAGCCGATTGCTACAGGCCACCATGTTCATTGACTTCATGTGGCAGAACATGAAGCTGGGTGATGCAGCCCAGCAGGAAGACGTGACTCTGTGAGCCTGATTCCACCAGGAATTCCACTGATTCCTGGCCTGCTTCCTGCCAGGTATGGCAACTCCACTGCTCCTGGTTTGTAATAAATTTTTCTAAGTTTTCATTTCTACCACGTGTCCAACATTCATTTTCCTTGGGCTTAATGAGAGGAAAGGGTCATTTCTTTGCTCAAGCTGTGGTTTCCCTTTGTATCTTCATGCCCTGAGTTTTCATGCCCAGACACTTAAACAGCTTTTAGCTTGGAGAAAAGGCAGAACCTGGCTCTTTACTGGGGATTTAAAGACTTTATGGAGTTGGGAGATGCTACTGGCAATGGCATATCCTATCCCAAAGCCCAGTGGGGCAGTGTAAGTATAAAACCCAAGCATCTTCATAATATCTTATAGATATTTAACCTCTTTATTTTGTAGACAATGTATAAAATGTAGAACAACAAACACCTCACAAGTTGGTTAAACTGCTTGTTAAAAAAAATTCAGATACCTGGGAGAATAACTAAAATTAAAGGTAACAATCTATATTAAAGTCTTAAGTTATCCTGTAACTATTTTTCTGACTCAGTTCTAGCAGATGAGTTTAGGATGAGAATTTCAGTAACTTGCAGACCTCCTTGAAAGAGGAATGTTTTGTTCCTAAAAATGGGCTCTGGCCCCTGCCCCAGCTGGGAACGAAGTTGTGATACACCCGCTTGTTTGTGTGCCTGCACAGACAGCACCGTAGGGAAGAGTCAGAAGTGAGGGTTCCAGCCAACAAGTACTTATGTTTTCTGCCACGCAGCAGATCCAGCCAGTTCAGGTAGTTGAGGGTCAGTTCTGCACTATCTGAGTTGATTTAAACTTTAACCAAACCAAACCTCCCAAACGCACATCAACAATCAAAGAGTTTTATAAAAATCTATAGAACAGGGGGTTCAGATAAAAGCCATTCACATGGCTGCACCATCCTCCCCCTACTGCTAATGGTAGCTCTGGATTTCTCCACATCCCTCACTGTCTGGGTTTCACTCCTCTGCTCTCCTGGTGGCTGCGGTGTGGGGAATAATGCAGGAATGATTGTGAGTACCTGCCTGAGGGAGAATTACCTGTGTTCAAAGTGACCTCTGACTTATACAGGAGCTGCCTTGACCCCCCCTGTAAGTTAAACCACTCGAGCCTCCAGTAGAGCCACTCCCTGGCCACCCTGTGCAGGCTGCACGTGAATCAGAGGCTGTTTGTGTGTTCCTTGGGATCTAACAATGTCCTTGGATAGCGACGTTCCCAAGCCCTGCTTCTCCCAGGGCTCCCATGGGATGTTAGTGAGGGAGTGACTGGCCCAGGGCTAGATCCGTGTCTCCTGGAGCACAAGCTGGAGGCAGGGAGCAGAGCCCGGAGCGCTGCAGCGCGCGCTTGGTCACTGTGCTGCACCTCTGCAGGATCTCCTGGGCCGAGGGGCGCGCGGGCACCTTGGGCACGCAAGTGGCCACGTCTGGCTCAGTGAGGGAGGAGCTGAGATCAGCTGCAGATGACTCCACAAAGCCAGAATCATTCCTGTCCTTGGGGGTGAGGCGTGGAGACTTGGTGCTGTGCATGGCCAAGGCATGGCCCAGGGGAGGGCTCCGGGTCTGCTCCACTTCAGGCAGGGATCTCGACAAGTCAGGCTGCCAGCTCAGCTGTCCATCCCGCTCCCTGCTGCTGCCCGAGCTCAGGGATGTGCTGTCTGACTCCAAGTCTGGGGTGGAGCTGGCCCTGGGCAGAGACCTTGATCTGCTTCTCAGAGAGCTCAGGTCCTCTTCACAGTCAAGGGAAGAGCAAACCTGGACCCTGTGCTCACCCAGAGGCTGTGGAGCCATCGGGGAGGAGCAGAGGTTTGGGGTGGAGATGTGGAGCCCGCAGTTCATGATGGTCTGGAGCTTGTGGTGGGGGTTCTTGTAGGGCTGGAGGCACATGGAGGGCAGGTAGCCAGTACAGTTGTTGTATCTGAGGGGGACGGATGAAAAGCAACACTAGAAAGAGCCCTTCTCCCACCTCAGACCAAGGGGAGGCAGGTGAGGACTCAGCTCAATACTGTACAGGGAGTGTGAGGAAAGAGAAACCAGCCCTAGCCAAGGGCAGCCAGCTCAGGGGGAGCTCCTTGGCACCCTACTTAAGGAGTGAGCAAGAAGCTTCTGCAGCAAGTAACCAGTTCCCTCAAAGAATGAAAGCTTTGGAAATGCTTTGGGAAAGCCTCTTACCGGATAAGCCACCAGCCATCCTCTGATTTCCTGACCACCTCCACCATTGTTCCGTTGTTCAGCGAGAGCTCATCTGCCTCCTGAGACTCATAGGCCCTCACAACAAAGTACAGGCTGCCTGCAGAGAGAGGGGGAGGTTGGGTTTGCCTTGCAGGGAAAATGCCTCCATCCTTGTGTTTTGAAGGAGGAATGTGGGGTCCCAGGGAGCCAGCAGCAGACTTACCCTCCTTGTCTAAGCAGAAGGAATTCTGGATGTCCTTGTGGACATCAATCTCTTCCAGGTAGGAGGCTGGGAACCAGGCTATCTGCTTGTCTGCGTTCTCCACTAGCCACCACCCTGCAGCAAACAGCAAAGAAAGGGTTTTGACAGCCTGAAGATGACCATAATCCCTGGGTGGGGGCTGCTCTGCCCCAAGAGACAGGACATTGTGCAGAGCAGCTCGGTGCCTCGCTGATGCCACGCTGACATGTTGTTCTTTTCTCCTGTGTAAATCCAGGTGAGCACACCACAAAACCCTATGAATCCATCTCCACCCTCCCTCCCTGAAACTGAAGATTCCCAGTCAAACATACCAGTCATGTCCTTGATTAACACTTCAACTATTTCCTTCTTAGTGACTTTGAAAGTCTTGTTCTTTGTGTCTTTGGTTTCGAAGGTTTCGAGGCAGCGGTAGCTCTGGGAGGCCTGAGGCAGCGTAATGCAGGAGGGCTGCTGCTGCTGTGACTGGGCTTTCTTCTCCCCTCCGATGTCTGATGGTATGATCACAACACTGCAAAGCAAAGTTCGGTATCTGCTTACTGAAAACTCACATGAAACCTTGAGCTTAGTGTTAATTTTGGTAAAACTCTCTAGCAGCAGGTTCAGAAAAGCTCAGGCATCAGAAACCACATAAGCATGCATTAGAGCAGTCACGAGAGCTTCCTGGTACGTAACTGTGCTACCATATTCTCCTCCACCCCTATCCTGGAACACTTCTGTTTCATGAAGACGCTACAAATACGATTCCATACCTGTTCTTAGGAAAGGAGGGATCTAAGTCTTGGGTCTGTGCCTTGAAAAACTGAATCACATCTTCACCCTGGGAGATCTTTGCAGCTGTTTTCAGCAGCTCCTGGGAGTAAGTTTCCAGCAGTTTCAGCATCTCCAGGCACCTGTCTGGCTTCCCACTCCTCCTCTGCTTTGCATTTGCATCTTTGAAAGAGCAAAGCTGGTGTAAGACAACAATGGCTCTGGTCCTTACTAGACACAAGCATGCTGCTGTAACCTAGTCCTGGCTGCTATGAGCAGGAGCAAGCACTTAATCTGCTCCAGGGGAAGGTCATAGGCTGAATTCTGTCTTATCTGTAACAACTGTCCCCCACAGCTCTGCTGTGTTTGTGGGTCCATCAGAGATTTGTTCTCCTTACCTTTAAACCTGGGCAGTGTCCGGTCCGATCTCTTGAGTGAGCCACTCTCGATGGGGAATTTTCTCTTCAGCTCTTTCTAAAAGCAAAGAGAAGGAGAGAACAGTGGTGCTTTGCAGCCCTGACACACTGCTGGGCTCCTTCCCCCTCCCCACCATGGAATCCTATTTTCTGGGAGATAATTCACTTACATGGAATCTCTTGAAGTCCTCAAATGTCCGGTAGATGAGAATGTTGGTCTGGTCTGACCAAGACACAAACATCATGTAGTTCTGGAAAGAGAAAAGAAATGCATTTTTAATCACAGCTTCAATATTGGGTGCTTTCAAGCAACCCGCATGTGCCAGGGGCTCTGGTTTAGTGCTGGCTTCAGGCTGCAAGACTGTCACATGCAAAAATGGAATTAAACATCAGATCTACAAAAATATTTCCTTAATTTTAGGGCCCCAAATGGATATTCAATAACTTGCTGTTGAAACCAGAGGAATTTTATGATACAGAACAGAAAGAGAGCAGAATCTAAAAGATCACAGTTTTCTTATGATATTAAGATATTATGATTGAAAAACAAGTCCAAGAGCCCCCTGTCCACCACAAGGCTCTAATTCCAACACTGCAGGGAAATGAGCAAACATACCCCTGTAAGAGCAGCTCAGAAAACCCTCTGGTGTCCCAATCTGTAGATAATATTTAAGGAGGAAAATAAATAAATCAGAAGAAACCCCAACATTAAAGTACCTTCTGCTTTCTGCACTGCATCAAGCCGACAGCCTTCACATCCACTGGGTACCTGGTGCAGCTCATCCTCCCCAGCCTCTCCTCCTTCCCCAGGGTAGTTGGAGGCTGAGCAGAGATGTGGCTCTGGACACAGCTAGGGTGGTTAAATACCCTGGAGCAGGAGGCAGGGCACAGGCGTTCCCGCTTCCTCCTCCACCCACTAACCTGGCAGAAATTCCATAGTTTGGCAAACTACTGTGTGCCTTTTACCTGCTCTGAACATGCAAATACTCCCAGTGCAGATGCAAGGGCAGAGTTCAGAGGGCTGCAGAGAAGCATCTTACTTTACCTTATCTTAATGCATCACATCCTTACCAGAATCCTGCCAGGAAGCGAGCCTGGCCCTGTGCCTGCTCCTGTTAACATCCCTGTGTGTCAGGAGCTCACAAGGGCAGCGATACCTACGGTGCACTGACTACACTGCCAGGGATGGATGTGTTGTGTTTATCCCTATATTGCCATATATGTTTTATATGGCAATATCTACATATAACATATATAAATAACACATATAATACGTGGTGTTATATGCAGCTGCACTCACACCAGCCCCAAAACCTGGTTAACGCCATGGTTCGTTGTAAAGCACAGCTCAAGCACAACTTGATTACAGATCTCTTCTCTTTGTCCCATCTGCTAAACACTTTTAAGTGGATTCCTGGTAGCTCTTAGATTTAAGTGGGTTTCTTGCACGCTCTTAGAACTTAGTGGGAGATGCTGATGCCAATGTTGCTGAGCAAAGGATGAACAAACACATCCCCGGGGCATAAGTGAAAAGGTCCCAGAGCTTCTTGAGTGTAAATACACAGTGGAGACTCAGCTCCAAGAGCCCTGCACCCTGTCCTGCATCAAGGATCCCCATACACCCCCAGGGTGACCCACAGCTCATCCCACAGCCAGCTCCCACTGCCCAGAGGCATTGCAAGCCCCATAATTGCAGCCCTGGAAGCCTGTCCTTTCACTGCACATGCCTTCAGTGTGCCTCAGGTTATGACTTGGCTGATGGGCAGCGCGTGATCAAACCGCCTTCTCCAACCCCCCTCCTCCTCCTCCTCTTTGATGAAGCCTGAATTGAATCATTATTGTTATTGGAGCCCAAATTGAGAGCTCAGCCCTGCCTTCCCTTTCATTTTCCAATTACACCTGGTGTCCCAAAGCCCTCGACAGCAGGGACAGATCTTTCATCTACCAACCTCCCCCCGCAGAATCTGAATAGGAAGGGAAATAAGATTCCTTCTGGATGGCCAGAAAAAATGGTGAGTAGGGTCTTGGTTTGCATTTCATGAGCATGTGAGGCTGCTCCTGCACAGCAGGCTGGCATTTTCTAGGGCCAGAAGTGCTTTCGTTGCAGTTCAATCTGTTGTTGCTGGATATCTGCCCTCTGTTGGGAAGGGAAACTTATACAGCGAGCACTTCAGTTCTGTGGGCCCATGCGGTGGGAAAACCCCTTCAATGGCATCTCCCAGGCACTTCCTGGCCCATGCACCGGACAGGAGCTGCCCTGCAGAGAGGTGATGCAGAGCAGGTCACTGCCCTTATCAGCGCCGGAATGGGACCCTCCATCCCTCTGTTCACACAGGGTTCAGCAAAAAGTATGTGTTTCCACTAGAGCAGGTTGCTCCAAGCCCCTGTGTCCAACCTGGCCTTGAACACTGCCAGGGATGGGGCAGCCACAGCTTCTCTGGGCACCCTGTGCCAGGACCTCAGCACCCGCACAGGGAAGAGCTTCTACCTAAGAGCTCATCTCAATCTCCCCTCTGGCAGGTTCAAGCCATTCCAAGAGTATAAAGGTTTAAATGTATTTACCTTGGATGGGAAAAGCTAAAGATGATTAAGACCTTAGAGGAGCTGCAATCTCTATGCACCGGACAGCACATTGCTGCACAGAGGCAGGTACTGCAGGTGTTGGTGAAAAAGAGAAGAGAAGGAAACAGCCTTGGGTTTGGCAATTCCTAGTTCCAAAGGCTTTGCTGTATTCCACCATTGTCAGGGAATTCAAGAAGGGGGGGTGTCAAAACCACGTAATTAAATGTTACATCAGGAAGGTGAAACTACAAGGGGTTTGCAAATCACAGAATCATGGAATGGTTTGGGTTGGAAGGGACCTAAAAGCTCATCCAGTTACGGACCAAAAAGCCCCACCGTGTCCCGTCCCCCTGCCACTGGCAGGGACACCTTCCACTAGAGCAGGTTGCTCAAATCACTTGAGGCTGAAGAGCCAGTGTGCAGCTGGGAGAGCTGGTTTCCTGGGAGAGACTGGTTGGTGACAGGGACCTCAGATAAAGCAAAGTGTCAGCAAAACTACTCAAAACTCAATAATTAGTTATGGAGAGAGCACACTGCAGAAGAGAGGTATGGGAGAGAGTGGCCAAGCACTACTCAAGACATAACACCACTTCCGGTGTCATCCTGGAGTGCCTGGTTTAAGGTCTGTAGTTACAGCAGTATCATTGCCTTGTTGTTATCAAGTTTGATGTCATGAAACTGCTCAAGAGCCTGATCCAAGAGTCATGTCATCTTGGCTTAGTGACGTTATCTGTGGAAGAGAAGGAAGGGCCAGGCCACGTTGCTTCTGCACCAGCACAAGTGCTCCTCCATCACTGCAAAGCCCTGAGAGCTCAGCACCTTTGATACTGGGAGGGATGATGACCAGAAGAGGCCAATAATTCCACTACATTTGAGCACACTTACTAAAACCCCCAAACCCCCCCCTTCTCCTGCCGTTGTCAGGTTTACTCGGTATCTTCTACAACTTCCATGTCATCCTGTCATAAACTGGTACCTCGTGTGTAATCATTAACCAAAGGGGAGGAGTGGTCTGCCTGGAAAAGGTAACACTCAGCAAGTATTGCTGGGCACTGCTGTTTCATTGTTAGCATTTATTTGCATAGGTTTTGAGGAGAGCAATTTCTTCTTTCCTTAATCATTTTACAAGGTACAAAAGAGATCATAAATTAACAAGTCATGTGTAGGAGTGGACTGTCCAGCTTTGGCAAGACTGAGGAAACACAAGTTTTCCTCCATAATAAGTGTTGTTTTGCAGCCTGCTGTAAAAGAAAAGAAAGCCAGACATGCCTTGTAAAGGTGAAGCTCTGCCTCCAGCTATGCCAGGAGCATCACTACTGCCATAAAGAGCTGCTCTGGGTATATGAAATACTGGTTGTGTCACAGGAATGGACTAAGGTGTAGTCATGGGGAGTCCCACCAGAGTCCCTGCCCCAAAGAGCCCACTCTGAAGGACAGGGCAGAACATCCAGTGGCTTTGGGGAGTCCCAGCCACCCAGGCTGCCCCCTCTGCTGTCTCTCTTACAAGAACAGCTTCCCACCTCTGAGTGTGAAATCTCTGTGTCAAATAAACACTGAGGGTCTGGTTTTCTTTTCATTCCAGTATGGATCAGGAATAACTTAATCCAGTGTGTTTACAGCAGCCTAGGTGGGACAAGTGCCTGGACCAACCCTTCAGAGAGCCAAATGAGAGGCAGAAATAGAGTTTGAGTGTGCAGATGCTCAGGGCAGCCAAAGGCAGCTCTTCACCAGCTCCACCACAGCCATTGTCTAAGTCTTCCAAGCAATGGCCTTGCCACAAATACCCACACACGAAAAAGAGGAGAAGGCCTGTTATGAACATCCTTTACCACATACAGAAGTCAGGTCTGGGCTGGTTAGTGACCTGTAGATGGCCGCGTATCTGTGTGGCTCTAAATTGGTTCTCTTTCTATGCCTAGAACAGGAGGAACTGCTAGAGGTTAGACTCAGCAACCTCTTGCAAACTCACCAGGGAAAGGCAAAGAGAGAAAAAGTCCTCAAACCACCCTTGAGAAGCTACAGCTGCAAGAAAAAGATATGGAAAGGAGCCACAGGCACAGCCAAGGGGAGTCTCGCCTGGAATGATACTGATAGGAAAGCTTCATCTTTTCCCACCATCACCTTCAGGATCAAACCCTGCCCTTTGCTGTTCTTGAAGGTCACCTGTGATAGCCCATGACCTATCAGCACCTTTAATGAAAAGCCCAGCTGCTAAAAGCTGATTTTAAGAGTACAATGAGGGTTTAGACTTCAAATAAAGAGACTCTTACTAAAAAAAAAATCATCATAAAAAGTCAGACACTGGAGTTGACAAAAACATCCTTCACCTCCCAAACAAAGGAAGTAGTTAAACTTTCACACAGGCTGAGATGAGAGATTTTGCAATATCTGATCCAGGAGAAGGTATTTCATTTCCTCCTGATTTCAGCAGCTGCTGCAGGCACTAAAGCATTTTTCAGTGGCCAGAGGAATCTGATTCAGAAATCCCTTGAGCACATGCAGCAGCACTTCTCTGTTTCTGTTCTCTGCTGGCTCAGGCTGATAAGGCAGTGTTTGCTGGAAGGGAGACAAAGGAATTCTGCAGTGCTGCTACCTAAGTGCAGTCTTGGAAACAGTCCAGCCAGCAAGGCCTCATTTTTTACCAGCCCTTGTTTTGCCTTTTCCACAAGGAAACCCCTTGCCA